GGGGGGGGGGGGGGGGGGGGGGGGGGGGGGCGGGCGGGTCGGGAGTTGAGTCGATTATGTTAAAGGTTCTCTCTTACAGCGGGAGGTTGTTGAGTACTGGGTGTTACGGTGTTGCCTTGGACACAGGTTTGTTGAATGCAAGGTGTTGTCTTGGAGACGGAAGCTGTTGAGTACAAGGTGGTGCATGCTACACGGAAGGCGGGCGGGCGGGCGGGCGGCGGGCGGCGGCGGGCGGCCGGCGGGCGGGCAGGCGGGTCGGGATCGCATAGACTCCTTTCTCTCTTGCAGCGGGAGTCTGTTGAGTACTGGGTGTGGTCTTGGAGACGGAGGCTGTTGACTACAGGGTGTTGTCTTGGAGACCGAGGCTGTTGAGTACAGGGTGGTGTATGCTACACGGACGGCGGGCGGGCAGGCGGCGGGCGGCGGGCGGGCGGGCAAGTCGGGATGTTAATAAACTCCTTGAGGATTCTCTCTTGCAGCGGGAGCCTGTTGAGTATTGGGTGTTGTCTTGGAAACGGAGGCTGTTGACTACAGGGTGTCGAAGCGGAGGCTGTTGAGTACAGGGTGGTGCGTGCTACACGAAGTTTGGCGGGCGGCGGGCGGGCGGGCGGGCGGCGGGCCTGCGGATCGGGATGTGAATCGACTCCTTACGGATTCTCTTGCAGCGGGAGCCTGTTGAGTATTGGGTGTTGTCTTGGAGACGGAGGCTGTTGAGCACAAGGTGTCTTCTTGAAGACGGGGGCTGTCCCCTCAAGATTCATGGCACTTGAAACGGACGGGTCTTTCGGGGAACCGCACGGAAATGTGGATATTAAGAAAATTGCGTGGAGGGATCTTGAATGGACTAGACGCACATATATATATATATATATATATATATAAATATATATACACACACACATGTCCATTCAAATAAATCCGTAAGGAACTTTGTGGGTTTGCGTGGGCCCCCAGCTCCCCGAGCCCCCCGGAGAGCCCGAAGGCGCCTGGAGGGCTCCGAAACGGCACTGGAGCTCCCCAGAAGAGCCCCGAGACGGCCCAAAGAGGCCCCGAGGCGACCAAAGACAGCCCCGAGATGGCCCAAGACCGCCCTTAGACGGCCTACGATGCTCCCAAGACGGCCCCATAGGCCACAAAGACGCCCCAGGACGGCTCCGAGGGGACACTCTGGAGACCGGGGGGCCCGAGAGGCCGAAATCGTAGATTTTCCGTGGGTTTCCTATGGATTCTGAGTTTCTCGCGCTCTCAACCGTCTGGACCCCCAAGACGGCCCAAGAGGCCTCCAGGATCGCCCCGAGACGGCCCAAGAGGAGCCCGAGAAAGCCCCAAGACAGCCCCAGACGGGGCCAAGGGGGGCCCAGGAGGCCCCCAAGAGGGCCCAATAGACCCCCATGCGGCCCCCAAGACAGCCCAACAAGCTCCCACGAGGCCACCAAGACAGGCCAAGAGGGCCCCGAGCCTGCCCATGAGGGGCCCAAGACGGCCCTGATGCTGTCAAGACAGCCCCAGAAGGCTTCACGCGCCCGAAAAGAGCCCCAGGAGGACCCCCAAGAGGGCTTGAAGAGGCGAAAATCATCGATTCCACGTTGGTTGTCGATCGCACACCGCAGTTTGCTGGCAGTTTTTCGCGCCTGAAACAGAAGCGCGCGTCGGCAAATCTCGTCTCACGCAGCTCCGTGGATTTAATCCACGGGCCCACACTAGTATATATATATATATATACACACATACACATAGATGTGTACTGGACTCGATCCTTCTCAAGCAATGATCATCCCGTTCCCGCTTTCACCTTCTCCCTTCACACTGCCCCTCCCTCTCGTCCCCCAGCACTTGTGAGGCCCAAATCGGTGTCCTTCATGATCGTCTGGATGAGTCCCGTCTTCTGCGTCTCTCCCTGGGGCCCAAGGCATGCAGAAGAGGGACAGGGAGAGAGGGAGGAGGGAGGAGGACAGGAGAGGAGAAGAGCAGAAGAAGAGGGAGGAGAAGAGGAGAGAGGGAGGAGGACAGGAGGAGAAGAGCAGAAGAGGGAGGAAAGAAGGAGGGAAGAGGGAGGAGGAAAGGAGAGAGAGGAGATGAGGAGAGGAGGGAGGAGAAGCAGGTTCATGAGCAGAGGCTGGGGGGGGGCTCCTGCAGGAGCAGGAGCAGGAGCAGGGGTGATGGGACGAGGGGAGGGAGCAGAGCAGGAGGAGGAGGCCGAGGGGACAGCGCATGGCCAAGCAGTTCTGGCGTAGAAGAAAAGAACAAACAGCGGCACGAACATAAACTTTCGAAGGTACGCGCAGAAGTCTTCCATCGGGGCTCGGACCCCCCTTTGCGGCGCACTCGGCGTCGGCCCAGGCGTGCTCCGCGCGCCAGGGAAAATGACCCGGCGCCGATCGCGAGAAATCCGCGCGGACCTAGGAGAGGTGTATGTTTATGTGCTTTTGTTTGATCTTCGCGGCCAAGCGATCCTTCCGTCGAAAAAACAACACTGGCCCAGGGAACGGCATTCGCTGAAAACAGCCACAAAAAGTCTGGCGCAGGGCACATATGCAGGCGTGCATGTCTATCGTCGGGGGTGGTCTTATCCTCGCACACTGCGCGCCGCGGGGGGGAGGAAGCGGGAAGCGCGGCGACACCATGAGGCACTCAGCATGTGTCGGGTATGGCGAATTGACCAGGGCGAGCGCAGGAGGGCGCGCCCACTGGCGCCGCAATCGGGACCCCATATGAGACACAAAACTTGTGACGCCCACATCGAAGGCGATATGTCCATGGCAATCGTGTCCGGGCCAAATGCGATGCGGAAAGTTCCTGACTTGACGAGGCAGGGCCACGTTCCCTGAACACGCGTGAACCGTTCAGCTTTGAACGATACCCGCTCTCGCAAATACCCAGCCGCTGTCGACCACCCTTCGCATGGGTTTCGCGCCGCGGGTCGTTATCTGCAAACCCTGGAGACCAAAACGGCAAACTGGCGGGAATTCGGCCCTGAACGCCCGTGTTGGCATTACCACCGCGCCGAGGCGGCGCGAGCCTGCCACGCTGCCTGTTGGAGCGGCCCAGGCAGCCCGCCGGGGGAGTCCTCCGAGAGAGACACGCGCGCGTAGGAACTGGAGGAACGCGAAAGCGGGGCCCTGCGAGCCGCGAGGCGGTCACTGTAGAACCGCGACGCGGCGGCACAACTGTGCGCGACGCCCGCTTTTCACACCACAACCCCACGGCATCCAGCCCCCCCCCCCCGCACTCCGACCTCCAGCGCGTCCCTCCTCCCCTTATCCTCCTTCACGATGACTCACTATGAATACTTCTCTCTTTTCCCCCAAGACGACCTGAGAATCGAGCGCATCTCATCCACGTCGTGTGCTTTTCACACGGGATGGGTCCGAGTTATCCCCTACCATCCTGTGGTGTCGGGTCCTCGTCTTGAAGAGACAACGCCCCGCGTGTTTCCCTCCTCCTCCGCCCCCCCTGCTCCCATCTCTGCATCTGCCCCCCTTCGCGTGCCCATGTCGGCACACCCTCACATGCTTTGTGGCCACATGAGGAAACCAAACTAAGGCCCAAAAATGTCGGCGTTCGCATGGCGTGCATGCACCCGATTCGGCAAACCCCTCACACGTTCCGTGGTCCCATAAGGAGCTCCACCGAAGACCCCAATGGCTGCGCTCGCATGGCGCATCCGCACATTGTTCGGCACGGCCCTCAAACGTTTCGTGGCCCCACAGCGAGCTCCACGGAAGGCTCTTTTGGTAGCTTTGGCATGGCGCACCCACCCCCGATTTGGCACACTCCCCACGAGGACCGTGGCCCCGTATGGGGCTCCACCGAAGGCCCTTGGCAGCATTGGCTTGCCGTACCCGCCCCCGACGCTGCACATCTCTCACACGCTTCGTGGCCCCATACAAAGCTCCACCGAAGATCTCTGTGGCTGCGTTCGCATGGCGTACCCGCACCCGAATTAGCACACCCATCACGAGAGTCGTGGCCCCACATGGGAGCTCCACCGAGGGCCCAGGTGGCAGCGCTCGCATGGCGTACTCGCCACCGATTCGGCACGCCCCTCACACATTTTGTGGCCCCATGGGGAGATCCACCGAAGGCCCCAGCGGCTGCGTTCGCATGGCTCACCCGCCCCACCAATCGGCACACCTCTCACACACGCTCCGTGGCCCCATAGGGAGCTCCAATGAAGGCCGCATTGGCTGCGCTCGCACGGCGGCACCGCACCCGATTCGGCACGCCCCTCACGCGCTTCGTGGCCCCATGGGGAGCCGTCCGCCTTTCGTCCCACCTGCCTTGCGGCACTCGCATCCGCATATGGTTGTGTCCTTCTCCCGATAATTTGTTTCTCATGCGCGCAAGCCGGATGGCGGGGCAGATGCATGAGCACAAGTACGACAACAGCAACTCCAAGCTGGCCTTCTTGAAGCGTCGGGTGCTGCACTCACAGAGGCTACGTTGGAAGCCATTGTGAACAAGCACCCGGGCCGATCAACAGCGACATCCGGGTCATCAAGAAGCACGGCGTTACACAGGACGACCTCAACAACACTGCGCGCGAACGAATGGGGGCCACGAAGGGCATACGTGTTTGGGCCGCAGAGGGCAAGGACGGGGCCACTGAGGGCAGCAACGGGGCCACGAAGAGCAGCGAGGGGGCCACGAAGGGCGACAGCGGGGCAACGAAGCGCATGCATATGGGGCCACGATGGGCACGAACGAGCGGGGGCCACGAAGGGCATACATATATGGGGCCACGAAGGGCAGCGAGGGGGCCAGAGAAGGACTGCAACGGGGCCACGAAGGGCAGCGAGGGGGCCACAAAAGGCTGCAACGGGTCCACGAAGGGCAGCGAGGGGGCCACGAAGGGCTGCAACGGGGCCACGAAGGGCAGCGAGGGGGCCACGAAGGGCTGCAACGGGGCCACGAAGGGCAGCGAGGGGACCACGAAGGGCTGCAACGGGTCCACGAAGGGCAGCGAGGGGGTCACGCAGGGCTGCAACGGGGCCACGAAG